GCCAGTTAGCCCACTCTGTTAGAGCCTGGTGCTGATGACACCAAGGTCAAGTGTTACAATTCCTGTCCCTGCACTGGCCAGCTGCCAAAAATACACCAAAAAAGAAACAAATAGACTTTTTCTGACAAGGAGATTTTAGATATTTATTATTTCTTGGTAATTTGCTCCTTCCAGAATGTATTGACACATATGACCACATGGTCTAACTGGTCCGTTGTAGGAACAGTATATTAATCTTGGAAATTAAAAAAAGTTATTTATTGTAAGTCTATTTTTATCAGCATTATGGTAATGAATCAGGCCATCATTACTGCTTCTCCATAACAGTAATAAGAAAGTCTAGGCTTACAGAGGTAAATCCCATTTTCAAGGCCTCACCAGCTATAGGTGATTTGAACCCTAGGGTTTGAACTCTGGCAGCCTGACTCCTGAATCTGTGCTGTGACATCCTAGGGTGGCTCTGGGCTCCTCTTACCTGACACTCATCCTCTATCGGTGTCCTCCCTGTCAGCCCTTCCCACTGGGTCAGCTCCTGCCTGTTCATCCTCATTATGGATATGCCCTCACTCGCTGGTACCTGGGAGAGCAGCGTTTCCATTTCTGTCCAAAGCCAATCCTTCACCTTCATTTAGAAATTACCCTCCCTGCCTTTTTAGACACTCAATTTTTAAACAATACTTATATAGGATTCACTATGTATGAGGCATGATTTTAAGAGCATTATAAATATTATGAGATATTTATCTTAATGATCAGTAGATTTTTATTATTAGTATTGACATTTTACAGAAGAAGAAGCTGAGGCAGAGAGAAGCTAACAGTCTTTCCAGTGGCCACACAGCTAGTAAAGTATTAGAACATGTGAATGTTGCTTAGCATTGTCTTTGAAAAAATAAAGGGACACTCAAAGCTCTTTGATTGCTTTCTGTGTCTTGATTTCATAAAACGCCCCACTCATTATGATGAAAATATTTAAAGTAGAGCCTGGCCCAGATGTGGCCCTCTGTCAGGCCTGGGCAGACCTTAAAACACCCTGGTTATTGGATCTGTTTTCTGCCAGCCTATGAATAAGAAATATCTTTTCGTCCAGTTAAATAAATCAACTCCCGCACCAATATATTTGTCTAGTTACTGTAAAGATCTGTCCTGTTGTGTTCTGAGAAGGACCTACGTTCTTTACGTCTTCTTCCTTCTTTCATGACCACTCCTCCATCCAGTCTGCTCCTGCTCCGTCAGCTCATTAAATCTGCCCTCATCGAGGTCGATGATCACCTTCATTTTGTCTCTATCAGGGAGGACTTCCCTGACTACCCTATACAGAAATTCAACCCCCGACACCCCCTATCCCCCTTCCCTGCTTGTTTTCTTCTGACCACATAACATCATCCAATACACACATATATATATTTGCTTTTTTTGTTGTTTATTATCCGTCTCCCCTCTCTAGGATAGAGCTCCATGAGGCAGGAATTCGTGTCAATTTTGTTCACTGCTTGATACTGAGCACCTAGAACAGTGTCCAGCACATGGTAGGCACTCAATAAGTACTTGTTGAATGAATGAGAGGCCAGATTCTTCTGGGATGCCCACAGCCTTTCTGTCCACTCTTCAGCTCCTTCATGGGGCATTCTGCCTCTACTTACCCTAAAGTGTTAGTGTTCGCAGGGCTCTGTCATTGTGCTTTGGATACTCGTTCTATTCATCTTNATGAGATATTTATCTTAATGATCAGTAGATTTTTATTATTAGTATTGACATTTTACAGAAGGAGAAACTGAGGCAGAGAGAAGCTAATAGTCTTTCCAGTGGCCACACAGCTAGTAAAGTATTAGAACATGTGAATGTTGCTTAGCATTGTCTTTGAGAAAATAAAGGGACACTCAAAGCTCTTTGATTGCTTTCTGTGTCTTGATTTCATAAAACGCCAAACTCATTATGATGAAAATATTTAAAGTAGAGCCTTGCCCGGATGTGGCCCTCTGTCAGGCCTGGGCAGACTTTAAAACACCTGGTTATTGGATCTCTTTTCTGTCAGCCTATGAATAAGAAATATCTTCTTCTTCTATTTAAATAAATCAACTCCTGCACCAATGTATTTGTCTAGTTACTATAAAGATCTGTCCTGTTGTGTTCTGAGAAGGACCTACGTTCTTTACGTCTTCTTCCTTCTTTCATGACCACTCCTCCATCCAGTCTGCACCTGCTCCGTCAGCTCATGAAATCTGCCCTCATCAAGGTCGATGATCACCTTCATTTTGTCTCTATCAGTGAGGACTTCCCTGACTACCCTATACAGAAATTCAACCCCCAACACTCCCTATCCCCATTCCCTGCTTATTTTCTTCTGACCACATAACATCATCTAATACACACACATATATATGTATATTTGCTTTTTTTGTTGTTTATTATCCATCTCCCCCCACTAGGATAGAGCTCCATGAGTCAGGAATTCGTGTCAATTTTGTTCACTGCTTGATACTGAGCACCTAGAACAGTGTCCAGCACATGGTAGGCACTCAATAAATACTTGTTGAATGAATGAGAGGCCAGATTCTTCTGGGATGCCCACAGCCTTTCTGTCCACTCTTCAGCTCCTTCATGGGGCATTCTGCCTCTACTTACCCTAAAGTGTTAGTGTTCGCAGGGCTCTGTCATTGTGCTTTGGATACTCATTCTATTCATCTTATGCATCACCTGGGCAAGGCTATTTTAGGGTTCTTGTAAGCATCATAAGATAATGTTCATAAGGCCTTGACATACTAGACTAAATATATTTCCTTTAGAAATAAACAAAACATAGGAAGTTTACATTCCACAAGCAGAAAGCTGACATGCATGTGCCTTGAATAATCATTAGAGATGACTGCAGCACCTGTATTATACTGAGTGGCTTTTCGGGGTTACAGGTCACCATGGTATCTGAATCTGTCATGGAGGTCCCCATTTGTCTAGTGGAAAATTAGAAAGAGCAGCTGATGTTGAATCCAAAAGCATCACAGATTCTTGACAAGATTTCTCAGCCTGTGGTGGTGGTGGCCATTGCAGGGCTGTATCGTATGGGAAAATCCTACCTCTGCCTAGGAGGACAGAACCTGGGATCCGAACCCTCGGCGGGAGCGCCACCGCGCTTCCCAAGCGGCGCACTGTAGCAGTGCACCACCGGGCCGGCCCTGGATGTGCTTTTAAGAAGAGTCAGTTTTCAGAGGAGCCAGACGCAGAAGGAGAGCGCAAGGGTGAGCGACAGCCGCTGAGAACTTGTCCCCCGTCTGCGGCGCCCGCACCAGGATAGAGCTCCATGAGGCAGGAATTCGTGTCAATTTTGTTCACTGCTTGATACTGAGCACCTAGAACAGTGTCCAGCACATGGTCACCATGGCATCCAAATCCATCATGATGGCCCCCATTTGTCTAGTGGAAAACTGGAAAGAACAGCTGATGGTGAATCTGAAAGCATTACAGATTCTTGACAAGATTTCTCAGCCTTTGGTGGTGGTGGCCATTGCAGGGCTGTATCGTACAGGAAAATCCTACCTCATGAACCGCCTGGCAGGACAGAACCATGGTGAGTGTTGTCTTGGGGTGGGGCCATTTGCTTGGAACCAGTGATTACACAGGCTGATCACACTTGCTCTAGGGTTATGTTAAGGAAGAGCATGACTCCTCCCAATGAAGAAAACTTCTAATTCTCAACATCAAATTTACAAAATTTACAAACTCAACCTCATCTGTCCACAAAATCTCATTCTTTTGTTTAGTGATAAAGAATTATTCTAACCCTATCTAAAGATCTGCTCCACCGGTCCTCTTGATCTCATCCACACTCACCTGCTCAGAAGCTGAGCTCTAGCAATTAGTTCCTTTCTTTCTCCTGTATCACTTTTGGGCAAGGTATGTGGTCATTTCAACCTGTTCACAAATGTAGTTGAATATATCCTGTCATTAAAAATAGATGAGCAGAAGGGCAAACAGCAGGATCTTTGTATATCCATATATAAATTGGGCTGGCCGCCATGGGGTCTACCCAGGATGCTGAGGTATGGAGCTGGGGACTGACCCCTTCACACAACCAAACACACTGCCAACACCACAGGGCCCACTCAGGGTCCTGAGATATGGACCTGGGAGCCATCAACAACTAAGCAAGCAGTATGTCAAAAACATTACCTCCATGTGGGTGGCTCATCACAACCACTACAATAACCACAGCTGCTGCAAAAGCAGCTAGATGCCACAACCACCATGCAGATGGTCCGCCAGCTACTGGAGTGCATTGACACAAGGTGAATTACCAGAAGAGACCAAAAAAACAGGATGTCTCTCTCCACAAAACCCATTCCAGAGAGACAGAAGAAGTATCTGCTGTAAGATAATATTGGGGGACCTGAACATGCCTCTCAGCACTGGACAGATCATCTAGGCAACAAACAGAGTAACCATTACTCTTTCAGAAGGAGAGAAGAAATCTAGGGTTATCAGAGGTGGGAGGGAAGAGGGAGAGGGGAATGGAGAGAGATTGGACAAGGGGCATAAAGCATAAGTACGATTTGCAACAATATGTATGCAAGTAATATTGATTTGATCCACATATGTCAATGTTGAACTTCAAAAATATGTATAATCAATTATGATTCAATAGAAATAAATAAATAAAAATAAATAAATAAAGATGAATTGGGCTGGCATCTAATTTTTTTCTTCACTTTATATCAAAGCTTTGTTAAATTACATCCTCTTTATTTCTCTATTTAGTCTTTTCTTTTTTTTTTTTTTTTTGGACTGGTAAGGGGATTGCAACACTTGGCATGGTGTGGTCTGCACCACACTCAGCCAGTGAGTGCTCCGGCCATCCCTATATAGGACCCGAACCCACAGCCTCAGTGCTACCAGCGCTGCACTCTCCTGAGTGAGCCATGGGGCTGACCCTCTATTTAGTCTTTTCTAATGTGCAAAACATAACACGTAGGGAAAAGTACATAAAACATACATGTACAATAAAGTTAATAAGCATAAAATGAACACATGTGTAATCACTATACAGATCCAGAAATAAAACATTACCAACACCCAAAAGCTCAAATCATACTATCTCATACCTTCACTAGAGCTCACCAGTAGTTTGGTTTTCAGGGCACTTCTTCCTGTCTTGCTTTTAAAAAATGATTCTAAGTATATGTGTTCATTCTAAAAGGCAGCTTAATATGATCTTCTTTTAAACTTTATATAAAAGGAATTATATTGTATGTATTCTTGGGTGTCTTGCTTCTATTGCTCAACAAGAAGTTTATAAGATTGCTATACTTGTCATATGTGTCTGTAATAAATTTATTTTTACGACTTTACAGTATGCCATTGTGTGACGATACCCCAATTTATTTATCCATTCATTACTTATGAACATTGGTATTATTTCCGGTTTTTATCTTTAATGAATCAGGCTGTCTTATATTTGTATCTTGGTACACATGTACAAAAACTCTGCTTGTGTAATATACTCAGAAGTGGGATTTCTGAATCAGAGAGTGTGCGTGTCTTGGGCCTTTTTATGCAATATTAGAGTTCAAACTTTTGCTGCAATTTACATGCTTATTAGTAGTAATTAAGAATTCTACACATCCTACACAGCTTAACAGAGTCCACATCAATTCTGTAATGTGACATAGTCCCCAGTTTCTGGTAGAGTTAATGGGACATAGTTTGAGCCTTTGAAAGAATGAGGCGAATAGGGGACGTAAAATGTTTCTTGAGAAAGTTCTTAAAATACATATATATACACATAAAGATTGGATTGGGTGTCCTCGCTAAAATGGAAGCTACCACTCTCCTTGCCAGGCACTTACATTCCTGCACCTTTAACCAATGTAATCCCTGGCAGCCTGGTCTACCAACTGTTACTTTGCTGTTTCTCCTTTTCCCTCGCAGGTTTTCCTCTGGGCTCCACGGTGCAGTCGGAAACCAAGGGCATCTGGAGGTGGTGTGCACCTCACCCCTGCAAGCCCAGCCACACCCTGGTCCTTCTGGACACTGAGGGCCTCGGTGATATGGAAAATGTAAGACAGAGAATCTGCTCTTGCTTGTGCACTTATCTGTAGTTTGCTACTTCATTCAACTTCTGTGACATATTCCTGTAAACTGCAAATTCAATGATGAATAATGAGGCTAAATTCTTTTTCCTCAAGCTTTCTCATTAAGCTCAAATGCTTTGGTATATTTAGGAAGAGACCTTATTTTTAACACAGGAATGAATGATATAATTTAATATTTATGCATTGAACAGCTGAATTCCAGGGCTCTTTGCTTAATACTACAGATATGACAGTAAACAAGGTAAAGGCCGAGACCCTAGTTGTGGAGACAGGAAATATGGAGTGTGATCAGTATGGGGTACCACAGATGCAAAAAGTGGGAAACCAAAACAGTCATGTGAGTTAGAGAAAGCTTCCTAGAGAAAGCCATAGCCCCTGGGATCAACAAAATCTGCTAGTTAAGGTGTGTGGGGTTGATGCGCTTAGAGGTGGGGACCGTGAAAATAGAGTTTCCATGAAGGAATCAATTTCAATAATCTTTTAAAGAGCTTCAATTTCATCATTATGGTTTTGATCCAAGTTTCTGAGCTTTGGAGATAAATTCTTTACTGATTTCTTTAAAGAACAACTGAAATATTGTAAATGAGATAACTTTAGGTATTTTGTCTTTACAGGGTAAGGTAAAATCAATCTTTTCTCCGTATTTATATCAGTCTGGGTCTAAACTGAAAATACCAGCAGTAGATCTTTGGCTTCCATTACTGAAAAAAGGGGGAAAGGGAAGCACAAATTTAGAAATTTCTAATTAAAAAAATTTAAGTTCTGAATTATCATCTCGGTATAAAACCAAGATGGACTATTGATTTGTAATAGATTGAAGTTTGCACAAACCTTCTTTTTTTTTTTTTATCTAATTGCGTTTTTCAAGGGACTAAAACATACAAAAATATAAATCGATGGCAGCAGAACTACTGGTTGACCTCAGTACTTGCAGTGTGACCTGAGTGGTGTCTAAGTTGATTTCAAAGCCTTTCATGTCCTGCCATGATTCTCATTTCCAGCTTCTTTCTCCACTCTAGTGCACGTATCACAGCTTGAGTCAGATAAAATGGCTCTATAATACCTTTATATGACTGTGCTCTGACAATTCAGATTTGGCTTCAGTTGGTCCTTCCGCTTGCTTGAGGCTTTCATCTCCACAAGTCCACATTCTATCAACTCTAAAAAACTCACTTATTTTCAGCCTATTGTCACCACATCCCAGTCAAACATAATCACTTCTTGCTTTGAATTCACAGAGTAATTATTCAATTTTATGGGCCTCCCCCACCCTTTTTCTTTGAGTTTAACTCCTGGCACAGATTATCATTTTTGTTGCATTTATATATGGACATGTTTATCTGCAGCTCCGGAAAGTCATCTTCTTGAGGGCACAGACTGCCGTGTGGAACTTTGTGCAGGCCCAAGTTCCCACTCAATGCAAGGTCAGGCATTTTGTCAGAAGTCTAATTGAAGGGGAGAGATTGGACAAGGGGCATAAAGAATAATTATGGTTTGTAGCAACATATATGCTAGTAATATTGATTTGATCAACATATCTCAATGTTCAATCCCCAAAATATGTATAATTGATTTTGATTCAATAAATAAAATAGATTTTTTAAAAAAATTAAAAAACAAGGGCCGGCCGGGTGGCGCACTGCGCTAGGGCGCCACTTGGGAAGCGCGGCTGCGCTCCCGCCGAGGGTTCGGATCCCACATACAGACTGGTTCCCGCTCACTGGCTGAGCGAGGCGCGGGGGCAACGCCGAGGGTTGCGATCCCGTTGCCGGTCCCGGTCCGGTGCGGGGGCGACACTGAGGGTTGCGATCCATTGCCGGACACGGAAAAAAGACAAAAAAAAAAAAAAATTAAAAAACAAATAAATAAATAAATAAATAAATAACATTAAATCCTCCCCCCCAAAGAAGTCCAATGATGAGATGCTGAACTTAACTGAAAAGCATTTGTGTGCTTAATATAGTCAAGATCAAAAAAAATTTGCAATGGAATAATTGCCCATCTACTATATTCTAGGCACTTTATTATATAATTTGCACACATTGACAATGTCATTCATTTCTGTTAACAGCTAGATGAACTGATACCCTGAGAAGAGTCAATCTAAATATACAAAATGAGGGATGAACTTAGCATTATTATTAAAATTTATGTTATTTACCCTACTTCCCAGCTACAGTATAGCTGAAACAGTGAAAGAACAACCAAATGAATGAATGAATGAAGAGTAGACTCCTAAGTCTCTTGCTCTAATGTGCTTTATAGGGTGACCCTGAAAATGACTCGTGGATCTTTGCCTTGGCTGTGCTTCTGAGCAGTACCTTTGTCTACAACAGCATGAACACCATCAACCACCAGGCCCTGGAGCAGCTCCAGTATCCTTCCAGGAGCTGAATACCATGCTTCATTGAGTTTAGGGGAATCACGACTGACACTGTGTCTTCTTTGCTGTGACTCAATTGTCAGGGTTAAATAAGAGTGGACACAGGGCAAAAAGAATGTTTATAAAATTCGTTTCTAAGTGATATCTGTATATTGTGGTGTAGGATACTTCTTATTCCTTAGCTAAGATCCCAGCTATGTGACTGAATTAACAAAGCTCATTGGGGCAAAATCTTCTCCCAGACCTGACGAAGTAGAGGACTCCACTGAGTTTGTGAGTTTCTTTCCAAACTTTGTTTGGACTGTACGAGATTTCACCCTGGAGCTGAAGTTAGATGGACACCCCATCACAGAAGATGAGTACCTGGAGAATGCCTTGAAGCTGATTCCAGGTATTAGAGCACGGCCTGGGTGGTGGAAGTTTCAGCAGGAGGGTGAGATCAATGAAGCCCTGTCATAAATGTTTATCTGAGACTGGACGGAGCTCCATACTAATGGTGATCGGTGACTGACAGATGACCATGGTTTTAGCGATTATTACTTAAAAATATCCAGAGGCTGGGGTTTAAACTCATTGAGGAAATTTAGTGCTCAATGTTGTATGAAATAATTTTAGACCAATCAGTACCATGAAAAAAAAAATGAAGATTATATTTCCTAAGGCTCACGTGTTTTTGTTACTTATTAAGTTTAAGTGCTCCTCCTATTCTATTTTGAGAAAAATAGCTCATCAGAATGGAAGTTGATAAACATGATAAACAGAGAATCACATGAAAATAAAATGACCTAATTTTAAAAATATGTTTCACAAGCCCGGATAGTTACATCATTCAGACAAAGGATATTCATACACCGATATGTGCTTCTATTAAGACTATCAAATCCTTAATTTTACCTTTTATATAACATCACCTTCACTCTAGAGCCTTATACAATATGTTATAATTTTAATATTATAAATGTATTACATGGATTATATTTAGCAGAGTAGATAACCGATGGCAAGTAGAATCAGTCCATTTTTATTCATTCACTTATTCATTCTTTTAACAAACATTTTGAACAGCTGAACTATGCCACAGAATCCCTCTGCAAGACAATATCAAGTCCAATATAATCTGACATAGAAAACTAGTGAGGTCTCCAAATTACATTTAGATTAACTTTATGCTGGAGTTTTTTGATAAAGGAATCTCAGAACATATTTATGATGTGTGCATTTTTTGACTCTGGTTCTGAAACATTTTTTCTTTACTGACTTGGGTATCATCTGCTCTCCTCATGATATTTTCCGCAGAAACATTTTATCCTTATTTCTAGCATTACTTTACTTTAGAGTCTCATTTCATTTCTAACGTGGAACTGTAATATTAGAAAAGCATTTCTGACAACTTTTTGATTAATCAATCCTTCAAAACATTTAATAACTAGTCAGTCTCTCAGCCACCGTACAAGGGCAAAGGAAATGAATCATAAGTCTCTTCACTAGTGATGGATAACCGCCCCCCTGCCCTTCCTCTCCAGAAGTACTTCCTTGACTGTCAGCTCTGTACAAAAATGGATTCTTTTATGCCTTGGGTAGATTGGCATAAGGCTGCTTTGTATGATCAGATAAAAAAGGATGATCACAGATACTGCAGTGATGCACAGATACCTGGGAATGTCCTCAGCCCCCTTACCTACAGGCCATCTTTTTGATGAGAGCTCTTTTTACAAATCTACAGGCAAGAATCCCAAAATCCAAAACTACAACATGCCTAGAGAGTGTATCAGGCATTTCTTTCCAAAACGGAAGTGCTTTGTCTTTGACCGGCCTGTAAGTGACAAAAACCAGTTAATTCATATAGGAGAAGTGCCAGAAAACCAACTGGAGACGAATTTCCAAGTGCAATCAGAAAATTTTTGTTCCTATATCTTCACCCATGCAAAGACCAAGACCCTGAGAGAAGGATTCATCGTCACTGGAAATTGTGAGTCACCTTTACCCCAAAGCATGTCTCTCCTTGGTTCAGTGTGTGTGATGAAGCTGTGATTATTCTATGGGTTTGTCAGTAATTTTGTTTGCTTCTGTATAGAAATGTGGAGAAGCAAATTTTTATGCCACAGTTGAAATTTATGTAAACAGTACTTGACACTAATGATATAAGCACAAAGTGTTGCTAAGGACAGAAATCTGTATGATGAGAAGATCTATAGTATAAGTATTTCCCCATGTAGATGTATGAGATATTTTTAAAATTTACACCAGTCAGAAAATGAAAGCAGTCCTTAAGTCCCAAGCAAGTTCATTGAGAGTCTGAGAAACAAATTTAAATATAATCTATGTACAGGGCCAGCTTGACAAACATGCAGCCAGTGCAGTCATGCAGTCCACATGTTGAAATGGGCCCATGCTTGGTTCGGTGTTCTATGCTGCCGTCTTCAAATTCCTGATGATATTTTTTACATGAGGACTTGCATTTTCATTTGGAGCTACAACTTGTGAATTATATAATTTACTTTCTTTGTCTCATAAACTCTTTTTTACTTTATTTAAATGGGAAAGTATTATTTCAGAAAACCCTAAAACATATTACTTGCAATCAGTAATTTAATTTTAATGTGGTGAATTTGAGATCCATAAAAGAAAGTGAAGAAACAGAGATGTTAGTATAAAGAGAAAAGATGAAAAAGGAAGAGGAAGAAGAAGACGAGGAGAAAAAGAAAACAAAGATAAATAAAATTTTTGTAATTTTTAGAATTCTGATCCTTAAAGATTGTAAAAAGAAAGAATTTTCTATTTATTCCCTAAATATATGCCTTCAGGGCTGGGGACTCTAGTGGTGACCTACGTGGATGCCATCAACAGTGGAGCAGTACCTTGTTTGGAGAACGCAGTGACAACTCTGGCCCAGCGTGAGAACGCAGTGGCCATGCAGAAGGCAGCCGACCACTACAGCGAGCAGATGGCCCAGCGCGTGAGGCTCCCCACAGACACGCTGCAGGAGCTGCTGGACGTGCACGCGGCCTGTGACAGGGAGGCCACTGCGGTCTTCATGGAGTGCTCCTTCAAGGATGATACAGGGGAGTTCCAGAAGAAGCTTGTGGTACTCTTAGCACTTATCCTTCCTGAGTTCTGCCCTTCTAAACGATGCCTCAAGTCTACCTTTCTGACCCATGGTTCATCTCCTTAGCATTGTAGAGAAACCTGCATTTTGGGGAATGAAAGTGTTCCATGGGCTTAAGTTCACTCCTGTTCTAAAAGATGAGCTCATTTTTTGCTGCAAAGCAAATTACCGTGAGATTAGCAGCTTAAAACAACACACATTATTAGCTCACAGGTCAGAAGACCATGTTGAGGTGTTTGGTTGCTCTACTCAGTGTATTCCAGCTGAAAACAAGGTGTCAGATGGGCTAAGTTCTCAGCTAGAGGCTCAGAGGAAACCCCTTCATCTTCAGGCCAGCAATGATGCATCAGATCCTTCTCCTGTTTCTAATCTCTGACTTCTTCTTTTCTTAGCATTTGGAGAAAACTGCTTTAAAGAGCTCATGTGATTGGGCCATGCCCAACAGGGTGCTCCCCATTTCTTAAAGTCAACCTGGGCTATGGAACATAATCTAATCACAGGATTAATGTCCATCGTATTCACAGGCCCAGGGACTGGGAAGGGTATGGACTCCAGGGGAGAAAAAGCTTATTGGACACCTTACTTCTGCTTGCCATAGGCACTTTCAGTTTGTCTGGGACTGACCTAAAAGTGATGAAAATCTCTTAATTTATACTGAGGAAATCCTGCTGGATTGTAATTAACAAATACTGCAAAAAAACATCTATTTCTATATCCTCACACATTCAAACCCTCACTGAAAGAATTCATGAAGGGTTCAAAACTGTTCAGAATACACTTAGCTCATTCTGGGGAGGTGATTTGCCATGTACACATTTTCATCCAGAGCAACCCAAGTTCTCTGAGCAAATTTTACTTCCAGCCAGGACTGAACTTTCTATTGCTCGTTGTTGGCATTTGGGTTCCTTGTTAATCATGCTATAGCTGAAAGAGCCATAGAGTTCATGTCTTTCAACACCATAATTTACAGATATTGAACCTGATCACAAGAGCATTAAGGGACTTTCCAGAGGTCATACAGAGAATTGATCAGAACAGGAAATAAAACAAGTCTCCTGACTCCTAGTCTATACCTCATCACAGTCTACTCTGAGGCCATCAGACTAATTCTTCAAGAGGATCACAGTTGGATCTTCCCTTCTAACAACTTCTTTGTATTGTATTACCCAACATTTTCCTGGCAGGACACCATAGAGAAAAAGAAGGAAGATTTCTTGCTGCAGAATGAAGAGGCATCTGTCAAATATTGCCAGGCTGAGCTTAAGCAGCTATCAGAGCCCCTGATGGAAAGTGTTTCAAGAGGAACTTTCTCTGTTCCTGGAGGGCACTGTCTCTACTTAGAAGCAAAGAAGAAAGTTGAACAGGACTATAAGCTAGTGCCCAGAAAAGGAGTTAAGGTGAGGAATAAAGGGGGGTCAGAAGGGGGGCCACAGAGTGTAGTCAGATGGTCTTTGTTTCTCCTTCTAAAAATCTAAGACCATACCATCATTAGCGGAGAGAGATCAGAGTATAGTGATATCTCAACATTTTTAGTTTTTATATCCATAATTAATTATATAGTATTAAATAAGCCATAAATTTTTTTTTTCCAAAGAAGGAATTTAGAAAAAGTTCAGTTGAAAGAGAACATTTCTTTCATTTTTTCAAACAAATTTCTATTTTTTGTGCTGAATATATGGGATATGTTATCAAAGAAACAATTTTTGTTCTCAAGAAGCTTATCATCTCACCTGAGATGGATGAATTAAGAGTTGATTGGATATGATGAGATTACAGTTACCATACTGGAAATAATGATGACGGTGAGCATAGTGGCTAACACACACTGAACATTCACTTCTATAATTGGTATAGTTTCAGGCAGTTTTGTTGGATTATCAATTTAATTCTCAGAATAATGTAAATTAGGTACTAAGATCGTCCACCTTCTGCAGTTGAGAAATGTGATGCATGGAGAAACTAATAAGTTGCATAAGATCATACCGCCAGCAAGTGGTAGAGCTGACAGAGCTGCTCTGTGCATTGGAAGCTCAGAATTCTTTTCTTTTGAGGAATCTGCATGCCATTTTCCATGTCTGTTCCAATTTAAATTCCCACCAACAGTGTATAAGGATTCCCTTTACTCCACATCCTTACCTCACTTGCTATCTTTTGACTTTTTGATAATAGCCATTGTAACAGGTGTGAGGTGATATCTCATTATGATTTTGATTTGCATTTCCCTGATGATTAATGATGGTGAGCAATTTCTTGTGCACCTGTTGGCCATTTGAATGTCGTCTTTTGAGAAATGTCTATTCAGGTCCTTTGCCCATTTTAAAATCAGGTTATTTGTTTCTTTGCTACCGAGTTGTATGAGTTTCTTACATATTTCGAATATTAACCCCTTATCAGATATATGAGTTGCAAATATTTCCTTACATTCTGTGTGTTGACTTTCATTTGGTTGATCATTTCCTTTGCTGTGCTGAAGTGTTTTAGTTTGATGTTTATTTGTTTAGTTTACTTGTTTATTTTTGCTTTTGCTGCCTGTGCTTTTGGAGTCACAACCAAAAAATCATTGTCAAGACCAACGTCAAACTACTTTCCCTGTATGTTTTCTTCTAGGATTTTTACAGCTGCAGGTCTTATGTTTAAATCTTTAATTCATTTTTAGTTGATTTTTGTGTATGGTGTGAAATAAGGGTCCAAATTTGCTCTTTTGAATATCCAGTCTTCCTAGCATTATTTACTGAAGAGACTATTCTTTCTCCATTGTGTATTCTTGGTGCTTTTATTGAAAATTAGTTGACCATATATACATGGGTTTGTTTCTGGGCTCTATATTCTGTTCCATTGGTCTATGTGTCTGTCTTTATGCTAGTACCATGCTATCTGATTACTATAACTTTGTAGTAGATATTGAAATCAAGTAGTGTTGCCTCCAGGCTTATTTTGGTTGCCCAAGATTGCTTTGGCTATTTGGGGTCTTTTATGATTCCATATGAATTTTAGGATTGTTTTTATTACTTTTGTGAAAACTGTGGTTGGAATTCTGATAGGAATTGCATTAAATCTGTAGATCACTTGGGGTAGTATGGACATTTTAACAATATTAGTTCTTCCAATCAATAAACACAAGATAGCTCTCCATTTATTTTCTGTCTTCTTCAAATTCTTTCATAAAGGTTTTAATTTTTCAGTGCAGAGATCTTTCACCTCCTTGGTTAAATTTATTTCTAAGTATTTTATTCTCTTCAGTGCTATTACAAATGTGATTTTTTTAAAAAAAATATTCTGTTTTGGATAGTTGTTCTTAGCGTGTAGAAATGCAACCCATTTTTTAATGTTGATTTTGTATCCTGCAACCTTACTGAATTTGTTTATAGTTTTAACTGCTTTTGGTGGACTTCTGGGTGTGTAGCCAAAGGAAACAAAACAAAATCATTATCTTGAAGAGATAACTGTAGTCCCACGTTCATCTCAGTATTATTCACAACAGCCAAGATATGGAAACAACCTAAGGGTCCATGAACAGATTAATGGATGAAGAAAATGTGATATAATGGAATATTATTCAGCCTTAAGGAAAGGAGATCTTATCATTTGTGACAATATGGATGAAGCTGGGGGACATTATGTTAAGTGAAATAAGCCACACACAGAAAGACAAATACTGCATGACTCAATTTTATGTGGAAACAAACAAACAGAAAAGTCAAACTCATATTAACAGAGAATAGAATGGTGGTTACCAGGGGCTGATGGGTGGGGGGAAAAAAGAAGGTATTGGTCAAAAGGTATAAATATTCAGTTATAAGATGAATACATTCTAGATACCTAATGTACAGTATGGAGGCTATATTTAAGATAATTTATTATATACTTAAAACTTGCCAGTTGAGTCGATCTCAAGTGATCTCACCCACCCCCAAAAGGTAACAACTATATATGTGGTGATGGATATGTTAATTAGCTTGATTGTAGTAATCATTTCACAAAATGCACTTATATCAAAACCTCGCGTTGTACACTTTAAATATATACAATTTTTATTTATCATTATACCTCAATAAATCTAGGGAGAAAAACTCAAGGCAGCCTAGGAAAGCTTTCAGGGAGGTGGTAGCTACTAGTTGAAGTTTCAACAGATCCTAATTAAGCAAGGATCGGCAAGCATCAGGAAGAAGAAAAAGAATGTGCAGATAGAATGGAGGATGTGTTTGTACAATCGCACATAAATCTGGCTGCTGCAACCTGGGGAAGGGAGTGGGAAGCATCACTGGGAGAGGAGGCTGCTATACAGGGTTTTCATATCTTGCCAAACAGCTTGGGCATTTTGTGGTGGCACAGAAGGAAAAGAACTACTGTGGGATCCTAAGCAGGATACAAAACTTACATGGTCATTTTTGTGGTTTTATTGAAAAATAATTTCCTCAACAGAGGACTAGATATTTACTGCCTGACATGTCTTTGCTCCTTTTTAGTTCCGCAGGCAAATGAAGTCCTCCAGAACTTCCTGCAGTCTCAGGTAGCTACAGAGACATCCATCCTGCAATCAGACAAAGCCCTCACTGATGGAGAGAAGGCCACAGCAGGTACAGGAGCAGGAGGGCTCAGCTCTCAGAGGGGAGGTGTGTCCCTGCAGTGCTCTCTTATTGATCAGACAGGAAGCTTTTCCTGAAACAAGAGCTTCTCCTATTATGAAGCACATGCTCTGCTAAATCTGAAAATAACCAGGGGAGTGGGGTTGCACCTCCAGCAAATCAGTGCCTTTCCATCACATTCTGAAATTCCTTTTGCTGGTGTAGGTGGTGGGAAAATTCAGAGATTCCCTATCCCCCTACCTCCCAGCATTTTTAAAACTCGGTTTGTTCTGAGCTCAGGAGGGCAGGACTCAGGCCTGACTTGTTTTCCTCCCTCTCTAAAACCTTTGTGGAACAGCTGAGCGGGCCAAGAAGGAGGCAGCTGAGAAGGAGCAGGAGCTGCTCAGACAGAAACAGAAGGAGCAGCAGCAAATGATGGAGGCTCAAGAGAGAAGCTTCCAGGAGAACATGGCCCAACTGGAGGAGAAGATGGAGCGGGAAAGGGCAAACCTTCTGAGAGAGCAGGAAAGGATGCTGGAGCACAAGCTGAAGGTGAGTCTGGATGGGGCTGGGTGGTGCCTGATGGACAGTGTCTGATGGACAGTGTCCTGGTTCCTCAGGAAGAAAAGCACCAAAACTTTAAGCACAGTCATCTTTCTAGAGAGAAAACTAAAAGGATGTTTCACTGAAATCTCCAATACATCTGGATCCTACTGAGGCCTATAAATCTATAAGATACCAGCCCCTCTGTAGTATTAGGCTTTTGAGGGTACAAATGACATCTCCCAGGATGCTGGGCTGCTATTTGCTGTGATTATAGGATAGTATCATTATGTACCACTAAATAGAACCTTAGTTTACTAGTCAAATAGGACATTAGGATTCTGGGCACAACCATCAGAAAGACCTGAAGTAGATCCGTCTGTTCTAAAAATATCATATTTGGCCTGATACGAAATGGGGGATGTTGAAAGCTCTGAATCTGATCCATTTGTTTTTATATATGTCTGATTCATCCTATACAACTAGAGTAAAATAAATTCTTTGTCCCAACCCGGAGCTTTATAACCAGTGTTCTATACAGGCTCAGCCGTTCCCTTCATTTGTTAGAGGAGCATGGCCATGCTACCCCTGTGGAATGAAGAATTAATTAGAATCCAACCTGCATTCCCTCCTAAAGGGCATTCTTTGTGCTGTAACAAAACTCGTCCTCACCCCAAGTGAGAGAGTGCAGAGGGAACCTCACAAAGCGATAAACCTTGGATACTGCCATTATTCAAGTGCAAGCATAAGAAATATTGGACAAACTCATCAAAGAGTGCTCTTAGGTGGTAAAGAAATGGACACACATGCTTAACTGCCCAAGTTGTTAAATACAAAACTCTGGTTCTTAATAGTCTAGGGTTTTCAAAAGTGGACTCTCCCCCTTTTATAGGTCCAAGAAGAACTGCTTACTGAAGGATTTAAAAAGAAATCCGAGGAGTTAAATAAAGAGATAAACCAACTAAAACAAAAGATTGAATCAACTAAAGAACCCTGTGTGGTTTCAAATGTCCTCGATATGGTTGGTAACCTTATCACTACAGTACTGCCTGCGGCTGCTAAGCTAGTGTGTAAAGGTCTGAAATGTCTCAGCTCACATGTTAAATAGGCTGAGAATTCCTGGTAAGGAAATTGCAAAATAAGGAGTTGTTTGTTTTAATGGTTTAACACTGTGACTCATGTTTAAAGTATATGTGTCATTGAAGTTTCACAAAAAACGATTACATTGTGTAATGTTGAATATACTGCTTATTCTGATTTGAGCATCACATATTGCACACAGCTATTGATATTCAGTACCGTACCCCACATATTTGTACAATTCATTGTGTTTCAATTAATTTTTAAAAAAGGAAAAAGTAAAAGAAAAAAGAAATAATAGACTTCCATGTTTAAAAACACGTAAAAAAAAAACAGTTAAGGAGGGCTTGTGCGAAAGCTTGTACCTATAAGAGTTCAATAAATAAATGCTGGCCAATTATGATAAAAATAAATAAAAATAAAAAGTAAAATAAATATCAATTATCAAAGAATATCAGGGCCTGACATCCAAACACCAACTTAATTTTGATGGAATTAATTAAAGAAATGGGAAACAAGTTAATTGATAAAGAAATTATTCATAGAAAAGATTTAAGTAAAACAAAAAGACAAATGGCAAGATGAAGAAAACATTTTCAATTCATATTACAGTTGTGGAGATAATTTGTTAAAATGAGCTTGTTAATCAATGAGAAGAGAGCACCAACCACATTTTTTAAATAGGCAGAAATATGAGAATCAAAATGTTTAACTTTACTGATAATAAATGTTATGCAAACTAAACTGATGAGGTTCTTGTTTCACTTCAGTGACGGGCAAAGAAGAACAGCTTTGACAGACACTTGAGCTGGCAAGGGTTTGGGTACGACAAAACTTTGGGTATGACAGTATCTCTTATTTGCTAGTGAGAGTGTGAACTGTTGCAGTTATCTATCAAAAATCAAATGCACACACTTTTGACATAGCAATTCCACATTTAAGAATTTATCTGATAGATTCATTTACCTAAGTTTAAAATGGTATGTGAGATAGTATATTTGTGGTAGGATTATTGTAAAGTCAGAAGACTGAAATCAATTTTGAAGTCCCTCTGTCAGGTACTGATAAGGCAAATCTTGGGACATATTTACAAAAGAATACTCTACAGTCACTAAAATGAAATGGGAAGTTCTGTTTGTACTAATATGAGAAAGTCTTAAAGATGTATCACAAGTGGGAAAAAAAGATGCAGAAAGTATGTACAGTTATTAGCACTGAATTTAAAAAGTAATGAATATATGCATATGTTATCCACACCTCTGGAAAAATGCAAAATAAACTAGTATCCATGGTCACAAAAGGAATGGACCTGAATAGTTGAAGTGAGAAATGAGAGGAAAACTAAATTTACATCATGTATTCTTCTGTGCCTTTAACATTTTGTATGCATTAATTACTTATTCAAACATGAATACATACAATGACTAAAATTAAAAATGAAATAATAACACATGGGTGAGAAAGTTCCCATGACAGAATGAAAGTGTTTAATACTACTAGAAATAGCATAAGTTATGTCAACNAAGTTCCCATGACAGAATGAAAGTGTTTAATACTACTAGAAATAGCATAAGTTATGTCAACAGAAAAGTCTGCTCATTAGAACAGGGAAGTAGAGAGCACAAGACATGCGTCCTTATTTTGTTTTTATTATGGCCTTTTAATATGGATTTAAAAGTCTATTATCTAATATATATTCAGATACAAAATCCCCTGGGCTGTCGACTGAAATGGTCTTAAAATTCTTTTTTTTTTTTTTCCCTTTTTGTCTTTTTTCGTGTCCGGCAACGGATCGCAACCC